TGACCCACAAAAACATAAATAATTATGTATGTATATTTATATCATGCATACATTAGCTGTATTAGACATGCAGAAATATCATATGATATAATAAAAAGTTGATTGCCTTTTAACTATTGTAAGTTTTATGATGAATCCAAGGTCTGATTCTGAAGAAAGATAACCTTTTACTTCTTATCTAAGGTAGAATGTAATGTCACTTTAGATGTCTCCAACTTGTGGACAGAAAAAAGCATAACCAAAAAGTGAATATTTTTTACAAATTAAAATTACTAAATGAATTAAGCTTTTAATTAACTAGAGTAATGTTTCAGAAAAATATTTTTTAAATTTTGTTTGTCTTTTGGCATGGTTCTCAGGACCTAACACTTGACAGGCACACATGATACCAGGTGCGCCAAGATCCCATTCGCTTTGGATTTCATTATTTTTCATATAGACTCTTGACTTTTTTTGAGCCTCCTGTATATCTAGGGTCACAGGATTAATCATAATCTACTTGTTGATTAAGTTGAGGCCTTGTAAAATTTTTCCTGAGCTATCATTGAACTATAATATTCCTGATCTCTGCCTCCCAAGTTGTCAGGCTTACACAATTGAGCTACAGTGCTCAGGCCTATTTTCTTTTTTCCACTCTGTTTTGTATGTTCAATGATCATATAATTCATAATACAAAACAAAAACATATAAAAATCAAAATATCATAAATCAGTTTTTATTTTGTGGGTTTCTATTATGAATCAAATACTTTCAAATCTTCTCCAAATTTATATGTTGAATCCCTAATCTCTAATGTGATTATTTGGAGGAAGAAACTGCATGTTTATAACTAAAATCTAAGAAGCTACAAGGAGAGGAAAATGAAGCCATAAAATACAATGTATATCCTACAAAAATAAGAAAATTGAGAGACTAGATTCAGTTGGGAGGAGAAAGATGGAAAGGATAATATTGAAGAGTATGCATTGTGTTTATGAACCACTTTGTTTATAGCAATTCCTTTGTACAATTTAAAAAAGGGTGTACAATTTACAAGGATGGGGGGCTGATTAAAAGTACTGCTTTCTTTGTAGGAAGAGATAGGAAACATTCTCTTTCTCCCCATATGAGACAAGTTTTTGGTGTTTCATCGAAGTCAGTGAATAAAAGAGAGACAGAGACAGAAACAGAGGGAGAGAAAAAGAGAGAAACAGAGATTATTGGAAAAGAGAAGTAACCAAGAAATCTTGAAGACTGCAGGGAATCCTTAGTCTGTCCTCAGTTTTCAGTGGTTTCCATGAATTGACAGTTCGGCTAGGTTACTAATCTGTACTAACCTGTATGTGACGCTAATAATAATTTATGGAAGGAGGAACATTAGTTGAAGTATTTTAGAACCTGCTATTGAAATGACTGCAAACTTTCAGCTGCATTTTGATATAGTACTGTGAAATAAAAGGGAGAAGAAAGAAACATTTTAAATTACAAGTCTTACTGGGTTAGCATGGGCAAACACGTGTATTTAGCCAATTGAAACACTAGCTAATTTTTTTTGTTATTGCTGGTGTTGGTGGTGGTCAGAGGACTTGAACTCAGGGACTAAGCACTGTCTATAAGTTGTTTTGCTCAAGGTTAGCACTTTACCAGTTGAACCAGAGCACCACTTCTGTTTTTTTTTTTTGTATTATCTAAAATTTATTTACAGTTAATAAGTTAAAAAGCAAGGTACAATCATATGCACATTAAACCATCCAGAGAAACACTTCAGTTCCACTACAAACAATTGCTTTCTAATGCACTTAAGACATAACAGTTTATTAAAAATTAACATACCAATAAAGTAAATGTTAATATATATATGTTCATTAAAAATCACCTATTTAAAGAACGCTGTGGCAACCCTTAAAACAAAAAGTTTGCATCCAAAATTGTTCAGATTTGTATTCAAAAAAAATTTTCAATTGAAGGAATTTCTGAAAAATAGCAGTCATTTGCACATAGCAAATCAGTAGGTATTAGCCACCAGCTTGTTACATTTGTCCAATAGTGAATTCAAACTTAAAGACAAAATAAACACACACCACAAGAGCAACACCTCGCACTATCAACAATGAAGCTTGCTATCATTTTGCTGACTTAAAGTAAAAGTTGCTGGTTGACCGAGAGGAAGGTAAAAATGACATCAAGGATCTCAAAAGGTCATGTCAGGTGCCAGTCACCACATTTAGGCACTCAAAAGTCAAACATTTAAATGAAAGCATAGGCAGGTGATAGATCTTTTTCCTAGATGTCCCTCTCTACTTGTGCTATACAAGATATAAGAGAAAGCATAAGTTATAAGATTTCTTTGAAAAACTATACACAAACTAAGCTAAAGATTCATTTTATAGGACAGTAATGGATGCCTTACAATAGAGGCCACTATGCCAAATTTCTTTTCACATTCTGCCCAAAGGTATCCATACAAAACTTTCACGCTACTATACATTAGCCAACTGTATTAGATGTTTTTCTTCACATTTTAGGAGTAGTCACATGTTTCGCTGAAGAAAACTTGACAAAAATAAAGTTTCTTATTTTGTTTTTTACATCTTACTCCACAAACTAGAAATGGCATGACATTTTAGTAGCCCAGATGAGCTATATTGAATTCAGACAGGCAATCAGATCCAAACTGACATCACTGCAAAGAAGCCAAGGAATCATTTACATGAGTTCAAGTGCACTAAAGTAACAAGGCATAAGAAAAATACTGTCAAGAATCTCAGTTAAAATAAATGCATGGTGTCACTGGGTTGTTTTAGTTGTGGGCAGAGAAAAGCTATTCTCTCTGCTAGTCTAATTTAAAAATCCTCTGGGAAACTAGGTAAGCAACATGTTGAAATTACATTTTAATATGGCCATTGGATTTGTTTTCAGCTATTATAAAACTGTACAATAGTGTAGTGGTACAAATACATTTTCTGCAGGTGCTGAGTTAGCTATAAAAGTTAACTATATTTTTTGGGAATAAAATCGTATGTATCTGAAATACATTTGGCAAGGAGGCTAAAGACTGACAGAATATGTCTTAGCTTCCCTTCACACAACTATAACTTAACACTCTCCTTCTGATTATATTCATTTTTTATTTATTCATGTGACAGCATGTGTAACAATTTATTGAGTATAAAGATTAGGCTTATTGGGAAACTGGCATAAAGTCATATATGTATTTATATATGTATATATATGTATATATATATATATAGTTCTTTTTACAAAACAACACTGAAATTAAGTCACAACACTCTATGGACTACTAAACTTAAAATAATGATTTTCAGAAAGCTATGCCATTTGAATTCTAGGATTATAAGGATCAAACAGGAACTTATTTTCCCAAGAAGCTGCCAAACCGACAGAAACTTTAGCACTAAGGATTCAACATGTCAAGTTCCAGCCCAGTATGGATCATTCCATGGCAGAATACTTAAATTTGTAAGACTAGTAGCACAAAAACATTTGACCCTTTAGGTATTGTGGTAAAAGCTGGCTGTGGCACCACTGGCTAAAAACCATTAAGTCTTGCTGCCACCAATGACCAAAGGCACTTGGATTAATCAAGGATTCCATACTGGGCGGTATGGTATACACACTATTATAAAAGTGTAATGAAGGGTCAGTGCTCTGTTGTAGTTCTCTATTTGATTCCTGTGGCCTTTAGTTGTCAAAGATTGCAAGCATAATTATAAATGGAAAGATGATTTTTTAAAAAAAGAGAAAATTCACAGGACAAAAACAATGAATTGTCATGAAATTCATAAAGGCAATGAATAATAATCTGGGCATTTCTTGGTATCCAACAACAAAAAAGAAAAAAAAAGTATGTTGTCCACAGTAACTTCAACTAGTTATTTGATATCAAGAAATGGCCCCACCCTTCCTGTACATCATTATCCATTCTGAAATTCTAATGGGTATTCCGTTTATCCCTTTATTCACTGTTCACATGCATTGATCTCTCTAATGCAACTTCCATTTTACAATGTCGTCCCTTGAACATTCCTGGATTTTTATGTTAGACGGTGACACGAGGCCAAAGTAACTCCAACTGGATTCCACTCATTCCTGTCACCAACGCCAGTTGTTCACAATTCACTTTTATCACAAGCGATGTGGTTCCAAACACGTTAAATTTTATTCAATTAAAGAATTTGACAAGTCAATTTTTCCTAAACAAAACTTGAGAACGGTATTCTACCATTTTTGTCTAGAAGCTCAGTAAATAGCAACATAAAATTTTATGAGAAAAACCTTATATAAATGTCTAAAATTATACTTCTCCGTCTCTTTGTAAAAGTCACTGAATTCATAGAAGTCCTTGCACTCCTATCAGTTATAAACTTGAACCTCTTAGAAAATATCTTTGATCAAGGCTTTGGAATCCAGGGGGAAAATAACAATAACTTAACAAAACGAGTGAAATTCAGAATACCCTGAGCACAAACTAGTCCACCAGCACAAAACATATCCAATCTTCCATCCAGCAGGAAGGGTGGCAGTGGTCAAGGGAGGAGAATGAGCAAAGTCAAAATTGTGCCTTTTTTCTTTTTTCTTTTTTAAACACAAGCACACGACCACAAATGCTTTTGGAAGAAGAAGGGAAAAAAAAAAAAAACAAACGATTTTCTTCGGAGGACTTCCAGACCAGTGAGGTAGAGTCCAAAAGGGGGAGATCGAGTCTGCCCCCTGTAGTCCTGGATACGTCTCAATCTGGGGTCAGGAAGCCCAGGGCCCTCCCCCCGCGGTCCGGCCGGCTCCTCCTCCCGCAGACGGAACGCCGGGAGGCGGCCGAGGACACACACCTGTCCCGCAGCCCCCCTACCCCCGCGTCCCGGGGCGAAGGGCGGGACGAGGCCATCGGGGAGCTGGTTCTGGTTAAAGTGCGCTGAGGACCGGGTGCGGGCCGATCTGTAAACACTCGACTGACGTTTGGCCGTCCCTGCGGGGCCAGGGCGGCGCGGGTCACCCGCGGCCCCTCACGCCCGCGGCACCCGGAAGCAGCGCAGCCTCACCACGGGTTCCAGGTCCACGCGCAGGACTTGGCTCGCTCGGCACCGCGCAGCCGCCAGGCTGCGCTCGCCCCACACGTCGTCGCCGACGCGGATGGTGGGGAAGGTGGTCAGCATCGGGGTGGCGGCCCTCCAGATCTCCTGCAGGCTGCGACCCCCGAAGCTGCAGGGTCTGGGCTCCCCGGGCCGGGCGGGGCCCGGCTCTCCGGGAGCCGGCGGCGGCCGCGGCTTCCTCTGGGCCGCGGGGGCCGCGGAGACTCCATGGCGCCTCCTCCTGGCCGAGGCGCGCGGGCCGGGCCGGCGCGGGCGGCTGCGGGCGGCGGGGGGCTCGGCGGGGTCGGGCACCAGGGCCCAGCAGGAGGAGTAGCCATAGACTTCCTTGCTGCACAGGATGTGCGGGGAGAACTGGTGCTTGAGGCTGCACAGGAAGCTCCAGACCTCCGCCTCAGAGCTCATGAACTCCGTGCTGCTGGGCATGAACAGCTTGAAGGCGTCGCCCAGCGCCTTGGTGCTGTCGGCCAGCGACAGTTGCGAGCGTGAGTACACCACCTTCTCCTCCCGCGCCTCGGGCGGCGCGACGCCACCCGCCCAGGGGCCGCCGCCGCCGCCGAAGTCCCAGGCCCACTTCTGGTTTTTGAGTGGTTAATTGGAGATAGGTGTCATAGGGACTTCCTGCCTGGGCTGGCTTTGAATCGTGATTCTCAGATTTCAGCCTCCTGAGGAGATAGGTTTAAAAATGAGGTCCACCAGTACTTGTCTTGATTTGATTATTTCAATGCTCATTTAGTGCCTTTGTGTGTTCAATCCACTTTTGTTCTTCATGGCTTGTGTTATCCCACTGAAGCCACAACTCTAGTGTAGCCTTTTTGTCTATTACCTTGAGGAAAAAGAGTTACTAAACTTTTTAATGAAACAATGAGGGCTTTTACAAGGAATGGTGTTGACTTCAAGATAGGGGTAAGGCAAGTAAAGTAAAAAGATACAGAAAATGGGGAAGGATAGGGAAGGAGGAAGAAAGGAAGAGAAAAATGAAGGCAGAAAGTGTGAAAGGAAAGGAGGAAGGAAGCCATAATTTTACAATAAAATCTGGGAAAATATTGTACACAATTGTAGAAAAATGTGATGAGAAACAGCAAGGCAAATAAAGGAAAAGAAAAAAAACAAATGAAATAACTGAACATAGTACACTAAAAATAAACTTATTTCCATTTATTGGATTATATTTCAATACACATCATTTTAAACAAGGCATAATTCTTACATCCTGCTAAAATGAATAGAGTTAATTTGGACCATGAACATTTTCAAGGAAGTACTTTGTAAACTATCATACAATAAAGCCATACATAAAACTGACTGTCTCTATAATTCATTACCTTTATGTCTGGAACTCCAAGGATGACTTTGTTCACTGGAATGCAAATTCAAAGTGTGCTTTAAAAGCATTGAAGAAAATATATTGTAATCTGCAATCAAATTTTGTTTTGATATAGACTCATTTGGTATGAAGTGGTTTCCTGATCGATAAGCCAGAGAGTTAGGGGCTTTAGTCTAAGAAGTATTTTTCCCACTGCTAATATTCAAATATGAATGACCAAACCCTACATGCTGTTAAATGAATCAACATCTTTTTATTTTTTTCAATCGTGGGTCTTGGACTCTGGGCCTGAGTGCTATTCTTGAACTTTTCAGCTCAAGCACAATGCTCTACCTCTTCAGCCACAGCACCACGTCCAATTTTCTGGTGGATAAATGGAGATAAGAGTATCACTTTGCACCATGATCATCAGATCTTATCCTCTTGAGTAGCTCGGATTACAAGTGTGAGCTAACAGCTCCTGGATGAATAAATATCTTTTAACTAATGTTTACAATTATTACTCTCTTGTAAATTAATGTTGCAATGGATTGAGTAAATTTTATATATATGTAGGTAAATTAGTTTGAGATATCATCTACAACATGTATATCTTAAAACTCTAGCAAACAGAATTGCTTGAGCCTTGATTAACTTGTTCTAAAATAGAGACAATACAAAAATGCTAATTTTATAAGCTCTTTTCAAAATAAACAATATACCTGAGGAATGTAGTACAGTATCTGTTACATTAAAACTTTATCTGAAAGGGAAATTATCTTCCTTCATGGGCTCATTTTAGCTAGCAATAGTTCACTGAAAAATAAGGTCCTTTCACCAGATTTTATTTTTCAGCAAAGTTTTGATGAATATAATTTAAATAAAAAATATGCCTTGATTTAGCATAGTGAAAGATATTCATGTATTTTATCACGTTCAAGTCATTCTTCTATAGAAAGAAGGAATATTAAATAGTAACAAAAAACCTCTTTTGTCCATGTTTTGGAGTCTATTTCACTTAGCATCATCCTATGGTATATGTACATAGCTATTGAGCTATTCTGCTCATCTGCTAAGATTTTACCAGTTATATACTAATTATTGAAAATAAGTGAAACCATTGGACCTATGTTTCTTTTATATATTTTTATATTTTATTTTTATATGTTTTTATTGTAAAAATGCTGTACAGAGGGGTTACAATTACATGAGTAAGGTAATGAGTACATTTCCTGTCAAGCAAGTGCTGCCTCCTCCTTTGCTATTCCCTTACCATCCCTTCCTGCCCCCTTCCCCTACTACTCCCTCCTGCCCACCCCCCTACCCCAGCCGAAGGTGTAAAGTTCATTTCCAACATAGTGTAGGGACCTAAGTTTCTTTGGGTCTGGCTCCTTCATTTCATATGATTTTTTTTCCAAGTCTTTCTATTCAGTATATCCTCTGTTGTCGCCATATTTGATTTTGGTACCCTGGTATTGTTTATTTGAATTAGGGAAGGGAAGGGGAACAACAGAATGTTGAGACAAATCAACATCCATATAATCAAGAAAATATGCTGGAAATTATCTATACAACTTTGGGGTAGGAGATGAGGGAAAAGGAAAATAGGAGAAAATGAGGGAAGGGGTACAAATTTGACAAAAATGTACTTAATTCCTTCCTTATGTAACTATAACCTCTCTATAACTATAACATTGACAATGAAAAAAATTTTTAAAAAAGGAACATTATTCACAAAGACCTTCATTTAACTTTAAATTAATGGATGCTGAGTTTCCTATTTTCCTCTACTGTGAGCAAACAACTGAAAAACTTTCATAGAGGTCAGTACATATTGATTCAGTCAGAAAAAAAGTAATTTGATGAAAATCTTTATTGAAATGATATTAAAAGGAGATTTATCTGTGAATTAAGAAAAATTTTACCTAAAACTATCTGAATTGAGGAATAAAATAGTAAGTTTTTCTCGTATTTTTAAAAAATCTGTGAAATAGGTTAAAATAACCTATTTTGCTAACTTTTTTTGGGGGGGGTTCCATCGTGGGGCCTGAACTCTGGGCCTGGGAGCTGTCCCTCAGCACTTCAGCTCAAGGCTAGTGTTCTATCACTTGAGCCACAGTGCCACTTCTGGCTTTTTTCTTTTTGCTTATGTGGTGCTGAAGAATCAAACCCAGGGCCTCAGGCATGCAAGGCAAGCGCTCTACCACTGAGCTACCTTCCCAACCCCTATTTTGCTAACTTTTTAACTTACTAAATTTGGAACTTATCATATCTTCTAACTTACTAATAAAAAGTGGAGTCCTCATTCTTGGTTTAAATAATTTCTTGTGAATTTTCCTATTCTCTTGCCTAAAAAATGATGGCATTTGAAATTTCATTGACCTGACAGGAATGGGAAAATGAGGAGAACTGTTCTGTGGCTAACCATAAGAATAAACTAATAATTGTGGTAAAAATGAAAGGCTGTGCAGACTTCCAGAATATGAAATTGGAGTGATTTTAAGAGAAATATAAGCAATTCAGATGCTTCCATCTGGAAGCTTTTTTATTATTTGTTCTAACTCACGAGTATTATTTTCCCATACAATTTGTGATAATGCATAATTTGTTATATGATTTAACATTAAAAATATACCCAGCAATCGCACTTTTGGACATGTACCCAAATGATCACAAACAAGGTCATACCAAAGCTACCAGCACAACTATGTTTATCGCTGCATTATTTACCATAGCTAAGATATGGAACCAACCCAGATGCCCCTCAGTAGATGAATGGATCAAGAAAATGTGGTATATATACACAATGGAATTCTATGCCTCCATCAGAAAGAATGACATTGCCCCATTTGTTAGGAAATGGAAAGGCGTGGAAAAAATTATATTAAGTGAAGTAAGCCAAGCCCAAAGAAACATAGGTCTCATGGTTTCCCTTATTTGTAATATCTAGTATATGTATGAGTCAAGCGGAAAAAGTCAGAGAATGTGATGTTAGGAAAATGAACCCTTAGATATGTATTTTAATGTTTTTTTCTTTCATGCATTTGTTTCTAATGCATTTATAAGATTATTTCTTTGTAGCTTTATATGTCCCTCCCCCACAGTATGACCCCTGCTTTCACTATATTTGATGTGGGTATAATTTGTGGAGGATATGGGGAAAAACAAGTCGTTTAAGGATACAGGTGGACCTGTTACAACACTGAGAAGTACAAGTTGTCATATCGAAAACGAACTTTACAACTTTGGTGTGGGGGGGGGAGGATTGGGTGGGGGGGTTGGAGGGGAGCCTGGGAAGGGATGTGAAGGGTAAACAAAGGAGGAGGCTGCAATGCTTGATAAGAAATGTACTCATTATCTTGCCCATGTAATTGTAACCCCTCTGTACATTATGTTCACAAAAATAAAAATAAAAATTAAAAAAAAATAAAAAATATATCCTTAAAATAGTTACATATTCAAGTATGAAAATTACATTCTTTCCAGACTTTCCAGACCATATTTTGCTTTTTCTGATACAATACATTGTTCTTCCGAGACTTAATAATTAGTTCTATGACATTATCTACTGCAGAAGAACAGTGGACTAAAGTTGGGATCCAGAAACTTGATTTTATTTCCAGCTTAAAACAAACTAGCTTTGTGACATAAAGAAAGTCATTTTATCTCTCTGTATTTTATTTTTCAAGTGCTAAATGAGAAAAATTTCCTTGATCCTCCCATAGGATTCATAAAATGGTGAGAATGAAATGGACTGTAGTCTACACAGAGAAAAATTTGTTTTACAGATGAAAGAACAGATCTCTAGAGGGCCTTAGGGACTTGTCCAATGTTCCAACAAGTTAAGGGAAATAAAACTCAGATATGTAGATTGCATTCTAATGCTCACTTCTATACACTGAAAAATTTTACCCATATTTATTATCCAAAGAACTATGATTTGCATATGTTCATGAGGAAAATATTAAATAAATAAGTGAATGTGTTTATATGTATTTGCTTGTATATATACATGCCATACATACACACAAATAACTTTATATATATATAACCGTAAGTAGACATGCACACACATCCACATCTATATTGTGTAGATTGTCAGTAGCATATAAAATAAGTTTTATATATTTTGGAATTTTCTGTTTGAATTGCTAGAAAATTTGAAATTTCCTAGAAATATCAAATTAATAAAGTCTATTACAAAATAAGTCAATATTCCTTTGTTGGTACTTAACAATGAATATGTAGTAAAAGAAATTAGTTTAAATAA